AACTGAGTCGCCTAAGTTTGGGAGCGACTCTTTCAGTTTTGTGTGGATAGATGCTGGAGGTGAGTCTTCGAAATGCATGAGTTGAGCTTTGTAGGGATTCTCTAAGGCTAAAGCGCGGAGGAAAGTCGGCGAGACAGCCACCACACTGAATTGCTCGGCGATGGTGCGCTTCCAGAATCTGCTCGCATGAAATTGTTGCTGAGTCAAATGGCTCAGCGGGCGGGACACCGACTCGCACTGGCATTCACATTCCTATTGGGTGGCTCGATTCCACGTGTTTCAACCCAACTGGTGAGGTTTTGGTTGGCGAACCACGGCGAGTAAAACACGGGGGAAAACACCGACGAACTCAAACGGCGATGGAACTGCGAACGGAGCGACTTCGAAAGGTTTCGTGTTACAAGACTCACACTAGCGAGTCGCACCAGAAACGACAATATCCGAACGGTCCCTTCTAGTTGTCGTCGATGGCTGATTCTGCAGGAAACCAGGAAGCAGGATTTTTGGACATGGAGGAGGTGGCAGGCAATGCACTGGAACAGAATATCTGTACCATAGCTTCCTCGCGTTTACATTTCTTGCACCGCGTCGGCTTAGGGACAGCGGCAGCGGCAGGAACAGCGAAACATCGATAGCGAGTCGCGACAGCGATAGCGACAAGCTTAGCGATCGATCTCGTCGCTATGCTGCCGCCGTCCGTCAGCTGAACGGTGCCGTGCCGAGTGCCGACGTCCGTGGTTGGTCGTATGAAAGGTTATCGCCTTCCGAACTGCAGCGATGCAGGACAGTGCTGTCGCCGTGCTTTCCGCCTTGCTCCCTCTTCGGACGACGAAAAGTGGTCTCCGTTGGGGATCGTTGTCGCGCAGTCCTATCCTAACCTAGCTTGCGCAGACCTGACCTGCGTTCCAGGCAACCCTCGTAAGGCCGCGCGCAAGAGATGCTGCCTTGCTTTGCCTCCGATCCGACTCTTCAGATGAGAATCCCACCGACGCCGCCGGTCCTTGCCTCATTTCCGATTCCCCACTACCAGGAAAAGGTTCATCCGCCTTGCTTTTCCATCACGAATGGAGAAATAGGACGCACGATTCATTGAGTGGGTTCTAGCAAGGCGTGGGGTTCTTGATCCTTGTCGCGCAGACCTAACCTAACCTGCGTTCCAGGCCCTCGTAAGGCCGCGCGCTGACCTAACATGCCTTGACTCAGGCTCTTCAGACGAAAATTCCGCTGACAGTCATTACCGTACCTTACCCTTCAGGTGGCACCTTACATTATCTTACCGTTCTGTTACAGGAAAATCCACGGAAGGGCGTGAGGTGCTGCGGCCTTGCTTCGGCGGACCGTTGGAGGCGAGTCTCACTGGACCTGGTAACCTTGTAACCTGCTATTTCCGCAACTTCACGGTGATGTTTCTAACGTTTCTAGAAACGGCGCTGTCGTTGCGCCTAGGCTGCCACCACCAGCAGCGAGATTGGTTCGTCGCGTCGGCCTGTCCGGCGATCTGAGTGCGCGAGCAGGGAATCGGCGATCCCGGTTCTGTGACCGATTCAGGGTATTTTTGAGAATTCTCAAAAATACGTTGTTGCCACCACCAGCGGCGAGAATGTTTTTTCGCGCGTCGGCCTGTCGGACGGCGATCTGAGTTTGCAAGAAGGGGATCGGCGATCCGTGACCGATTTCAATTGTACGATTTTTCCTAATTACCGATCTAAAGTCATCCAAACAGCGGCGGTTAGCTTGAAGCTCAAGAGCGACTCGCATCGGATGGCAGCAGTCGGTTGCACCAGCGGAGCAGCGTTCTCGCTGGGGATCCGGATGGTCGCTGGGGATCCGCGCAGGTCGCTGGGGATTTGCGTTCTCGCCGTCACGGTGGAGCAGCGAGCTCTCGGTAGACAGCCTTCTCAACTTCTCGTGCTACGCTACGCTTACGCGGTGACAGCGCTCGCGCTACGCTACGCTACGCGGTGATAGCGTTCGTTCCGAACGAGTCGTACTGCTGATTCCCCTGAGTCTTGCATGCTTCCGATTACACGAGGAAGCTCATTAGTACCGTCCTGTCCCTCGCCTCGTTCGTGCTTGCTGAAATTGCTGCTGCTGCTGCTGCTGCTGCTGCTGCTGCTGCTGCTGCTGCTGCTAATGGTGCAATTAGTGGGTGCCATCGTCGCGTTTCTCGTCAGCACCTCGCCCCCTCTGTAAGCAACTTACCACGAATTGTTCTTGATTTCCTTTTAATTCTCCCTCAGGACTCGGATTATTGCTTCTTTTTGTTGTGTTTTTATTTTTTTCCTATTTTTAAGTTTAGCTAAATCTGTGCGCGGATTTTTTGTTTCTTTCCAGACCCCTAGTTAATCCGCGCAATCAACTTCACAGTACAGTACCGTGTTTATTCCAGGCTTCTCACCTCCCCTTCGCCCCATTTGACCTCCCCTCATTTCTTCGCCTCCTCGTTCCCTCCCCATCCCCCCCCTCTGCGTTCCCACCACATTTATCTTTCCCGCTTATTTTATCCTTCAACGCCCCTCCCTCCCTCCCTCCCTCCCTCCCTCCCTCCCTCCCTCCCCGCTTCCCTGCCCTTCCCCGCGCATCTCCCTCTTTCTTCCCCGCCCCTCCCATGCGCAGCTGCTTGGCTGCAGCAAGCGCAGGTGAGTCGTCCCACACCACACCATAGCATAGCACACCACCCCATCCGACACCATTCCATAGCACACCACCTCATCCCACACCACACCACTCCAATTCACACCACTCCAATCCACACCATTCCGTATCTTCCTGCGTAAATCCCAGGATGTGTGACTGCCATCCGTCATCACTTTAACCATCTCAGATTCTCACCATATAACTCCCACCATGACCACCTCTCTGTGGCTGCCTGGCAGGTACAAGGTGACTGCGTGCCATCCATCACTCAGTGCCATAGAGCTCCCACCATGACCACCTCTCTGTGCCTCTCAGGCAAGGTGACTGCCACCCATCACTCTCAGAAGCTCACCATAGAATTCCCACAGTGACCATCCCTCTGTGCCTGCCAGGTACAAGGTGACTGCCACCCATCACTCTCAGAAGCTCACCATAGAATTCCCACAGTGACCATCCCTCTGTGCCTGCCAGGTACAAGGTGACTGCCACCCATCACTCTCAGAAGCTCACCATAGAATTCCCACAGTGACCATCCCTCTGTGCCTGCCAGGTACAAGGTGACTGCCACCCATCACTCTCAGAAGCTCACCATAGAATTCCCACAGTGACCATCCCTCTGTGCCTGCCAGGTACAAGGTGACTGCCACCCATCACTCTCAGAAGCTCACCATAGAATTCCCACAGTGACCATCCCTCTGTGCCTGCCAGGTACAAGGTGACTGCCACCCATCACTCTCAGAAGCTCACCATAGAATTCCCACAGTGACCATCCCTCTGTGCCTGCCAGGTACAAGGTGACTGCCACCCATCACTCTCAGAAGCTCACCATAGAATTCCCACAGTGACCATCCCTCTGTGCCTGCCAGGTACAAGGTGACTGCCACCCATCACTCTCAGAAGCTCACCATAGAATTCCCACAGTGACCATCCCTCTGTGCCTGCCAGGTACAAGGTGACTGCCACCTGGGAGAACTTTCTGCTCTACTTTGCCTAAAGTGGCATCCTGCAGTGCCGCCGCTACCGCAAGGTGAAGCTCTCAATCCTGGTGCACAGTTCTGGATGACTCGAGAGTGAGCAACGCCACGTCACGCCACACAACACAGTCTGCTGCAATCAAGGTTGCGTATGATCTGCAATGTTAGCTTTCCGCTCTATTTCGCCTCAAGTGGCATCCTGCAGTGCCGCGCTACTACAAGGTCAAGCTCTTGATTATGGAGCACAATCCTGGATGACTTGAGTTGATGAGAACACTTCCTTGTTCCAGTCTGCAGCGCAGGATGTGCATTAGCGAGGTTAGAGCTTACAGAATGGCATGTATAGGCCTCCGTTGGTTGGTTGTTGACACATTGCCAATCAATCTCTTCAGCATTGTTTGTTCAACGGGAATGAAACCAACCAGTGATCCAATTTTGCGAACGAAACTTTTTCAGAACTATGGTTCATGTGACATGGGTCTCTAAAGAGAGCTTACACTCAGCTAAAAGCGCTGGTATGTAGCAGTACAACAAGGAAACTTTTGATCATGCCACAGTATCAAGTTTCACTTATGCGAATGTATCTGATCAGAGTAACAACATGTCACTCGGACAGATCAAATGACAATGACAATTCGATGCACGCATATCACTGTACTAGCAACTGATGCATGGATCTTCCTACCTGCAGCAGAAATTCCACAGCCAAGTGCTTTGCCACATGCACGTTCTATTGAGAAAATCAGAAAACAATTCTCCACTTATGCAGCCATCCGCGAAAGAAAAGCACCCTTTACTCCAAATACCGTACACTGCATGATGGCCCTTGAGGCAAAGTAATACATACGGAGTTCAGTCACCTTATATCTGAAAGCAGCACGAATGAAGGGGTGGGGAGAGGGGGAGGAGAGGAGGGGAGGGAGGACGGAAAGTTGGGGGAAGTGTTGGAGGCAGGGTGGTTCTGTGCATGATACGGTATCTCTTGAGCGTACAATTCTACAAAGAGGGTGGTTTTACTATGCTCCAGCATGGCACGTCACATGCACTGCTGAACAACTGAATTTCTGGGGTGAAATAGCACTAAGGAAATGGGACAAGCCAGATGCATTGTGCTCAGGAGCTTCACAAAGAAGAGCTGGCTTTTGAGTCGACTCAAAAGTCAGCACTAAGGAAATGGAATGTATTGGGCTTAGGAGCTTCACTCACAAGGGGGCTTAGGAGCTTCACTCACAAGGGCATTCAGGCAGGCAAGGGGGGTCACTGATTGCATTGCGACATGACATCGGCAAGCTTTTTGCTTGTACCGCCCGAACCTACCAATAATGCCCAGGCTTGATTGTACTGCCCAGGCTTGATTGTACTGCCCGAATTTCCTCGCGCTGCCCGGACTTACGTGTACTGCCCGCCAACACCAAGCGGCCGGAGTTGCTTTGCCCGAGTGAAGTCGCAGCTCTTGAACGCTTTCTCATCGTCCATTATCCACAGATCATGCCATACGGAGTCCGTCCACTTGAACACTGCACAGGCGGAATGGACATAGGGGAAGGACACATGGCATGGGTGATGATGGTGAGAGGATGGTATGACCCATAGATCATGCCATGCCAAGTCCGTGAAATGAGGGTGTTTTTGAGACGTCTAAAAAACACATGGCATGGGTGATGGTGAGAGGATGGCATGACCCACAGATCATGCCATATGGAGTCCGTCCACTTGAAGACTGTAGGATGGGTGGCCATGGGGGGAGGGGGACAGGACACATGGTAGGTAGGGGTGATGGTAAGTGGATACCTCACCTTTTTTCAGAGATCATGACACATCACGTCCGTCCTCGTAAACACTGTAGGGGCAGGAGGATGGGGCCATAAACGGCTGAAAAGATAGTACTGTGAGGAGGAGGACAATCTAGGTATGACGCAGTGCCGATGGCTGACTGACTGAACACTGAACACTGAGTGCCAATCCAGGAATTGGGATTTACCGAACTCAAAGAGCGAGTCGGGTCATGAACTGGAACTCGGATCGGATGGATGGACAGTGGTGCATGGAGCACGCAAATGGGGGGTTTGGGAATCGGAGGGTCTGAGGGGGAATGGGTACTTGAACAACGACCCAGTGCCTGTGGCGTCATGGATCACAACACAACGCCCTGAAGCATTGGTAATGTCAGATGACATCATGGGTGACATCAGCACGCGTGACCTCACCCACGTTCCTCCTCTGCCACATTGGAGAGAGTCAGTCAGCGATCGGAAGTGGTGTCACGCGGTGTGGTGTGGTGGAGTGACGTGGCGTGGTGGTGCCACTGGCGTGGTGGTGGTGTGATTTAGAGAAAGGATGCAACGGCGGCGTGATACAAGGCAAAGGGAAACACGCATGAGAAGCCCCCGAGGCAAGACGCCTGTGAACAAAAACAATGCCTGTGAAAAAAAAAAAAAACGCATGTGATGAAAATATGGAAAGTATACCACCTGTCTGGCTCGATACATTCTAACGCCCTTGCTCGTAACCCTGGAGCCGAGGTGCTTGCATTCCGCGCTTCCGCCCTTCTTTGGCTTCTCGTACTTGTGAAGTGAGCACTCATGATTTTCTGTGCTTCCGCCCTGCTTTGCCAGCAACAGAGCAAGCCACAAAGCAAGCCCGTGACAACGCACCGAGTTTGTCGCCAGGAATCATCCAATACGGAGGCTTCACGTGTCTCGTCTTGCGGAAATCCCAAGGGATGGTGTACGTGGCCGCCTGGTGGGAGGGAGGAAGAGGGGTGAAACGAGAGAGAGGAAACGTTTGAGGTTCTAAACACATGAATAGCTATCGATGTTTTGCCTTCACGTATCCCAGGCAGCCACCACTAGATAAATGGTTTGACATGAAAAGATGCCATTCATGTACTCTGCTGGGATTGTATGTGATGGCTTCTGGCTTCTGAATTTGACCAGCAGAAGCGAAACCCGTATGATTCATGACGATTAGAGGTACGACTCAAATCAAATGTCATTGACGGCTTTCAAATGACATAGCAGTGAAATCCATCAATGTAGAAGTTTGGATTTGCGCGACTTTTGAGACGTCTCAAAGATTGGATCTGAGCGACTCACCTGTGCTTGCTGCAACCATGCAGCTGCGCACCGAGAGAGCGGAGAGAGAGGAGAACGAACGGGCGCAAGGGGCGGGAAGGGGAGAGAGGGGAGTGAGGGGTATGAGAGAATAGATGCAATGGAGGGAGGAGAGGCGATTGAGGGGAAATGAAAGAATAAGGGGCAATGGAACATGAGGGAAGGGGGGAAGTGAGGGAACTGAGGGGTAGAAAAAAACGTAACAAGGCAGCCAAAGAAGTGAAAGCGAGGGGTCTGGGTTGGGAGAAGGCAGAAAGGAAGTAGCAAGGAGAGAAAATGGGATTGTGATGCAGGCTGTCATGCTGGGTGAAGGAGGGGGGGGGGGGGGGGGGGTGGAGGAGGAGGAGAAAGAACAGGAGGAGAAGCTTACGTGACAGGAGGAGCAAGGTGCTGGTTACTAGCAGGAAGACGGGGAGCGATCGAGCCATGCTACCCCTGGGGTAACAGAACGACTGCACCACGAGGAAGGAACGAGGAAGCTACCACTCCTGTGCCACGGAGATCCCGAGGGCGCGCTGCAGGCTCAGAATGGATATCTGCTCGCCACGGAAGAAAAAAGCGTGGATTCTACTCGCGAATTCTACTTCAGCAAGAAAACATAAACTTCAAGAAGAACGGGGGAGTAATTCTGTCCGATAATTCTCGGTGATGTGATGTTTCTGGCTGATGCGGGGGGTGATCTACTGGCCAGCGCGCTTCGTCTCGACCTTAGTGATTCTCCGAAATCGCCAGCGCTACCGTGTCGCTATGAGGGTGAGAACTTCTCGTGGTGTGTTTCGATCGCTGCGATCGTGCCAAGGAGAAACCGATCCCGCCGACCTTGCTGTCACGCTGCTTACGTTACCGTCATCGCCGGTCGTCGTGGTGGTAACGATACAGCAGCGTCGCATTGAGTCGACTCAGAGCGCGCTAGGAAGAGGTGTGTGGAGCAGGTCTGTCGATTGGCCTGACGAATTTTGCCAGCCTAATCAGCATGACATCAAGGCACGAAGCGGCAACATGGATCAACAAGGATCATAGTGAGTTCCGGGGTCTCGGAAGATGTCAACGGGGGGATCTCTCCTGCTTCTGACACTTAGGTCTGCGGGAAATCTCGTGTCGGACGAACTGCCCGGCGTGGAAACACAGACCCTGCCGTGTCTCGTCTGAACGATGCTGAAAGAAGCGTTCTCGGCGGAGAAACGGAAAGAGCAGCATTGCCTCGCATCGGTTACAGGAAAAAGCATTTTTTCATTGCGGTTGGCTGTGGACATAGCGTACATATCAGTCCCGACTCCATCCATATCCATGGCTGCTGCTTCTGCTCCGGTACCCCTTGTGGTTATGCTGGCTGGCTTGGCTTGTGCTGAGGCAAAAACCTAAAAGGGGTGTGGTGCCGTAAGGGGGAGTATTTCCAGAACGACGTGTGAAAGGTCCGCGTAATGTTGCAGTTACAGATTATCAACGAACCCTTGAAGATGAGTGCTGCGACCAGTCAGCGATCTGCCTTCGAGACGTCCCAAGTTCGAAACCAGGTCAAATATTTTTGACTCAATCTGCAATTTAAGAGAGTTTTCCGATATGAACAAGCGTTGCAGGTCTGGGACCGGGAAGCAGTCTGATTCATCTGAAATTGATACACCTAACCACCGCTATTTTCAAGGGGAAACCCAACCCACTAATCTTGCGTTTCAAAGTTACCCTGCACGTTTTCGACTATTTCAGTTCGACACTTAGATGACTGGGGCTATGAATGACGCCAAATGCTCGAAGTTTAAACTCATTATGCGAATCTGAATCCATAGTGCCACTTCTACAGTACTCTCTTCGGGGATCTGGAACAGACTCTCGCAAAAATTTAATGATGCCCCACACAACCCTCGGTCAAAGATTTAGAAAGGGTGCATACCCCACTTGTGCAAGTAGGGTTGAAAATAGCGGTGGTTAGGTGTACACCCCCGTAAACAGCATTCACACTGTCGTTAGGTCTTAGCAGCAACGGCAGCAGCAACAGCAGCAGCAGCAACAGCAGCAGCGGCAGCCATTTTAATTTCTCAGGGTCGCGACTCGCGACTCGCGACTCTCGACCCGATCAAGAAATGTTTTCCCCGTAACCGCTGCGAGGCAATGTTGCTCGTGCTGGTTCCCACGGGAAACGGTTCTTTACGCATTGTTCAGACGAGACACAACACAGGCTGTGTGTTCCCACAGCTTCAGCAGAAACAAAGCGCGCGAACTGGGATTTTGTCGACATTTGCCGACATCAACCATGGATTCAACACGGCTCCATGCATATTCACCCCTCCATGCCTCGATGCCATGCGCTGATGTCGCCAATCCTCGGCGATGTTTCGTCGCTGAAGATTATGTTTCTTATTTTACACGGCAGCCATCCCAATTCCTCCTTTCAACCACTCTTACGTCCACCTAGTAAGCTCAGCTTTCAGTACCACCCTCGTGATTAGCTTCCTCATTGCTTCCTGGAGGTCCATTTTTTCTGTTAAAGCTTTCGTATACATTTGAAAAAGGGAGGTTCAAAAGTTTTGAAATTTGAAATATTGGTAACCCAGAAACAGCTAGTTTCACTCGCTTCACAAGGGAGGTGATCTCCCCGTCACCCAGGGCTCACTGGTGATTCAAAACTTTTGGACTAACAAAAGTATACGAAATCCAGTCCATGTGAGATCTACGCCACTACGCTCAACAGGCAGCATAAATCGTAGCAAAGCACATCGCGACAACAGCCAGCGCAAATCACTCCCGTTTCCGACACAAACTTAGACGCGTGGGGCAGTTTAGTGTAATTACACGTCCGAGCCAACGTCAGTTCCGCCCTCTAACACGGCGAGCCCGCCGGACCCCTTCTCACAGCCTCGCCTCGTCGTCCGTCGCGTTGCCTCACCACGCGGCCTCCTCACGCCACCATGAACGCGCACGCTGCGTCTCAAACTGCCGAACACGCACGATCACAGTCGCTTCCCGATCGCGCGACCTCGCTACCACGTTTCCGCAGTAGCGGCGGCAGCCGCAATTGAGGTGTCGCGAGGGTAATCAGAAACGATTGCTCCCCATTACCTCTTCCCGCCTCCCCGTTTCCCCTTCCCGCCTCCCCAATTCCCCTTCCCGACACCCCATTTCCTCTTCCCGCTCCCCATTACCCCTTCGCGCCTCCTCGTTTCCCCTTCCCGCTCCCCATTACCCCTTCCTGCCTCTGCAATTCCCCTTCCCGCCACCCCATTTCCTCTTCTCGCTCCCCATTATCCCTTCCCGCCTCCTCGTTTCCCCTTCCCGCTCCCCATTACCCTTTCCCGCCTCCCCAATTCCCCTTCCCGCTCCCCATTACCCCTTCCCGCCTCCCCAATTCCCCTTCCCGCTCCCCATTACCCCTTCTCGCCTCCCCAATTCCCCTTCCCGCTCCCCATTACCCCTTCCCTCCTCCCCGTGACCCCTTCCCGCTTCCCCATTACCCCTTCCCACTCCCCATTTCCCCTTCCCGCCTCCCCAATTCCCCTTCCCGCCTCCCCGCTTCCCCTTCCCACTCCCGATTATCCCTTCTCGCCTCCCTTCTCAAACTGCCGAACACACATCACAGTCGCCGCCCGATCGCACAGCCTCGCTACCACGTTTCCGCACTAGCCGCGGCAGCCGCACTCTCATTTCCCCCCTTGCAGACTCTCATTTTCCCCCTTGCTCACTCTCATTTCCCCCCCATGCTCTCCCTCATTAAAACCCCCTTCTCCCTCTCATTCCCCCCATGAAGCCCCTCATCCCCCCCTTTCTCCCTCTCATCTCCCCCCCTGCTCCCTGTCATGTCCCCACCTTCTCTCTCATGTCACCCCCTTCTCCCGCTCATTCCCCCCCATTCTCCCTCTCATTTCTTCCCCTTCCCCCTCTTATATCTCCCCCTACTCCCTCTCATTCCCCCCATGAAGCCCCTCATTCCCCCCCTTTCTCCCTCTCATCCTCCCCCCTGCTCACTGTTATGTCCCCCCTTCTCTCGCTCATGTACCCCCCTTCTTCCTCTCATTTCCCCCCCTTATCCCTCTCATTCTCCCCCCTGCTCCTTCTCATTCCCCCCTTAACCACTCAGTTAAATGCCACATAACCTCCCTCTCATTTCCCCGCATTCCCCCCCCCTTCCCCCTCTCGTTTCCCCCCATCTCCCTCTCCTTTCCCCACGTGCTCCTTCTCATTCCCCCCCCCTTCTCCATCTCGTTTCCCCCCCGCTCATTTCCCCCCATCTCCTTTCATTTTCCCCCCTTCTCCCTCTCATATGCTTCTAACCCCTACCGTACCCTTGGATGATCGCATGCCATACTCATCCATCCGCTGCCATACACCGCCACACCCTTCCATCTCCTCCCATACCCTTCCATACGCCAGCCAAGCCCGTCCCTCATTCTGCCATACCTTGCCATACTCTGCCATACCTTTCCTTCCCTAGCGTAAGTGTACCATTCCCTTCCATACCCCAGCCATACCCATCCATCCCCTGTCATACCCTTCCATTCCCTTCCATACCCTTCCATACCTTCCATTCCCTTCCATACCCTTCCATTCCCTTCCATACCCTTCCATTCCCTTCCATACCCTTCCATTCCCTTCCATACCCTTCCATACCTACCATTCCCTTCCATACCCCAGCCATACCCTTCCATACCCTTCCATTCCCTTCCATACACTTCCATTCCCTTCCATACACTTCCATTCCCTGCCATTCCCTTCCATTCCCTGCATTCGTGCACAGGCATATGACTAGTCACGTGATTGGTATCGAAGAATCCAGGGTTGGGTGATAAAGGTTATGTATATAGTGATACAATTGTAAGGACTTTTTTTATAAAACATGTTGTGAGGCTACGAGCTTGATTTTGGTCCTGAAGTGCCAAAAATGTACTAGAGTTGGGAGTGTATGCATGCTTCTTGAATCACAAGTGCATAGTAATAAATACGCAGGGAGCTGCCGCACAAGTTGGCGGCTGCTGTTGTATGCCTGGCGTTGGTGTGCAGCAGAGGGGAGCGATGCATTGTGTGCTGCTTGGTGGACCTGCCGGTGAGAGGAGTGGGGGGGGTCAGGGCTGAGAAAGGGACGAGGAAGGGGAAAAAGAAGGCACATATCAGGGTGAGCTCAACCAAAGCCTGGAGAGAGTGCCCTTAGTCATCCAAGTGGCGTGAAAACGGTTGTCTAGGCAAGTCCCAAGGCATGCGATGGGACGCGCACAGTACCTGAGAGGCGTGAACGATGGGACAAAACTTGAGATGAGTCGAGCTCGCTTGCACGCACCATCTGCCGCAACAGCCTCGCTACCTCCTCCTCCTCCCTCTCCCTCCGCCTCGCTTCCTCATCGAGCCTCACACCCTGCTCGCTCCCCAGTCCACTGCTGACATGGCTGCTTCGATAGTGTGCACCCAGCGTGAGAGACCCGGCATGCTGCATCTCCTGCGGCTTGCGCACTCATGAGCGCGCTCGGCTGTGAGACCGCAGCAGGGTCCACTCGCTCTTGGTTCTGCTGTTGCTGCCCATGCACCTGCCGCTGTTCTTGCAAGATCATCCCAGCTCCAACTCCTCGTGGGAGCTGCTGCTACATTTGCTCCACAAATGCTAGGTCCAGTAGGAGCTCAATCCGCAGGAGCAGAAGTATGGTCAGAACCGGGGCAGTTGCAGAGTCACACGGGTTGGGGCCAACAGCCGGCGTCGGCAGTCCATAGTCAAAGGAGTGGGGCGAACAATCCTCCCCACTGGCTGCTCCTCGCCTCATGTCTCCTCCTCCTCCACCATGCCTTCCCCTCCTTTCCTGAGCTACCTCCTGCTCCGGGGGGAACACCAAAGGAAGGAACACTGGGTGTGGCAGCAGAGGCAGCTCCGGCAAAGGCAGCAGCGGCGGCAGTATGGGCAGGGACTGAAGGAGCGAGTGGGATCTCATGGGAGGTGAGATGACCCTGGAAGGAGGGGGGATGAGAAATTAAGGCATGGCGATGGGAGAGCGTGGAAGGGAGAATGGAAGGGAGCGAGTGGGGGGCAGTATTTTGCAAGGGATCCACCCTGTAAGGGAGGGAAGATGAAAAGGACGGGAGGGCAGTGGGGCTATGCCAGAGCTGGGAGGGAAATGAAGGGGAGCAAGGTGGGAAAAATAAGGGGAGAAGGGGGGGAAATGACGGGGAGCAAGGTGGGGAAAATAAGGGTTTAGGTTGGGAAATGAAGGGGTGAAGGAGGGAAATGAGAGGGAAGCGGGGAAGCGAGAGTGAGCAAGGGTGGAAGTGAGAGGCGGCAAGGGGGGAAATGAGAGGGAGGAGGGGGAGAGATGAGAGGAGCAAGGGGGGAAATGAGAGGGAGGAGGGGGAGAGATGAGAGGAGCAAGGGGGGAAATGAGAGGGAGGAGGGGGAGAGATGAGAGGAGCAAGGGGGGAAATGAGAGGGAGGAGGGGGGGAGATGAGAGGAGTAAGGGGGGAAATGAGAGGGAGGAGGAGGGGAAATGAAGGGGAGCAGTGGGGGAAGTGAGAAGGAGCAGGAGGGGAAATGAGGGGGAGCAGTGGGGGAAGTGAGAAGGAGCAGGAGGGGAAATGAAGGGGAGCAGTGGGGGAAGTGAGAAGGAGCAGGAGGGGAAATGAAGGGGAGCAGTGGGGGAAGTGAGAAGGAGCAGGAGGGGAAATGAGGGGGAGCAGTGGGGGAAGTGAGAAGGAGCAGGAGGGGAAATGAAGGGGAGCAGTGGGGGAAGTGAGAAGGAGCAGGAGGGGAAATGAAGGGGAGCAGTGGGGGAAGTGAGAAGGAGCAGGAGGGGAAATGAAGGGGAGCAGTGGGGGAAGTGAGAAGGAGCAGGAGGGGAAATGAGGGGGAGCAGTGGGGGAAGTGAGAAGGAGCAGGAGGGGAAATGAAGGGGAGCAGTGGGGGAAGTGAGAAGGAGCAGGAGGGGAAATGAAGGGGAGCAGTGGGGGAAGTGAGAAGGAGCAGGAGGGGAAATGAGGGGGAGCAGTGGGGGAAGTGAGAAGGAGAAGGAGGGGAAATGAAGGGGAGCAGTGGGGGAAGTGAGAAGGAGCAGGAGGGGAAATGAGGGGGAGCAGTGGGGGAAGTGAGAAGGAGCAGGAGGGGAAATGAGGGGGAGCAGTGGGGGAAGTGAGAGGGAGAAGGGGGGGAAATGAGGGCGAGAAGGGGGGGGGGGTTGAGGGAGAAAAGGGGGGGAATGAGGGGGAAGAATGGGGGGAATGAGGAGGAGAAGGCTGGGAAATGAGGGGAAGAATGGGGGGAATGAGGGGGAGAAGGGTTAGAACTGAGAGGGAGAAGGGGGGAAAATGAGGGAGAGAAGGGGGGAAAATGAGGGAGAGAAGGGGGGAAAAATAGGGGGAGAAGGGGGGGAAATGAGGGGGAGAAGGGAGGCAAGTGGAGAGGGAGTAGGGGGGGTTGTGAGGGGGAGAAGGGGGGAGGGGGGGTAATTAGAAGAGGATGCGCTTAGCGGGAGAGGCGCTATGCGGGCGCTAAGCGGGAAAGGCGCGCAGCGGGTGCGGCGCTAAGCGGGAGAGGGTGAGGCGACACGCGGGAAAGGCGCACAGGGGGTGAGGCGCGAAATGAGAGAGGCGCGCAGCGAGTGATTCGTTGCGCGGGAGAGGCGCGCAGCGGTTGCGGAGCTAAGCGGGAGAGGCGCGCAGCGGGTCAGGCGCTAAGCGGGAAAGGCGCGCGGCGAGTGATACGCTAAGCGGCATGGCGCGCAGAGGGTGAGGCGCTAAGCGGGAGAGCTCCCAGCATTGGAGGCGGTAAGCGGGAGACCCGCGCAGTGGGTGAGGCGCTAAGCGGGAAATGCCTACCGAGCGGGTGTTGAGAGTGGCGGCGTGGCCAACGCATGGAACGATGCGATCCCGCCGTCGGCTCCGTAATTTTCAATCGGCTTACTCGATCGCACCTACCCAGCGTGGTGATGCAACCCGTCGAGGCGCCCTTGACAGGGCTTCGACGGGGCCCATCAATGCAGCACGACGCGCTCGACGAATGCAGAGCCTTTCCCTCTCCGATTGCCGCTGAACGGCGCAGCAGTGGAAAGGAGCTGGCGTGCAAGCTAGATGTATTTTCCCACTCGCACAAGCCTATAATGTTACCTAAACTCATCTCACATGAGAATATCTGAGCGGTGTCGATGCTCCGCATGTTCTTTGTCGCGCCCCGGTTCCTCTATCTATGCTTAGCGTATGTTAGTCACATATCATGGTTCCTAGTGAAATCTGACTCCAAGGTTGGGTGACGGGGGAGTTTCCTGTGTTTGGAACTCCTCAAAGCTGCAATTTTTCGCCAAACCTCTCGCCACGCTCAGTTGTTTCGTTCTGGCGAATTTTTCCCTGGCTACAGTGCAAGTCCAAACAGTACTTGCAAATGTATACGAAAGCTTTAATTCACCACCCCCCCCCTAGCATCATCCCTCGATCGCTCTGCGTCCTCCCGCTAGCCACCAGCGCCTTGCTCCTCCTCCTGACACGTAAGCTACTCGGTACCTTTTAAGTTACTACAAAGTCTTCTCCTGACACGTAAGCTACTCGGTACCTTTTAAGTTACTACTACCACCAAGTCTTCTCCTGACGCCATTATCTACTCCTCCTCCACGGTCGCTTTCTCTCTTATTGCTTCTTTCCCCGTTCCAGGCTCTCGCTCTCGCTTCCACCGCTGCCCGAGCTATTGTTTCTTCGCATCCATTCCCTCGTTTCCTTCCTTCCCCCTCATTCCCCTCATTTCTTTCCATTCCCTCATTTCCCTTCATTCCTCCTCTTTCCCCCCGCCTCGCCTGATCGTTCTCCTGTCTCTCCACTCTCTGGATGTGCAGCTTTCATGAAAGGCAGAACATCGACTGCCAATTTCTTCTTTTATTATTCGGATTCCCATCGTTTACCCTTTGTCTTTCCAACTCTCTCGCTCACCGTCGCTTCTTTCCTCCCATCAGCCCACCACGTACACCAACCCTTGGTAGAAAGGAGTAGGATTCCACCTACTTGGGTTCTAAACTTTGTATTATCCGCTCTTCTCTTCCACCCACCAGGCCACCACGTACACCATCTCTTTGTGGAGGAGTAGGAATAGGATACTACCCTACCTTGGGTTATTAACTTGGTATTATCCGCTCTTCACTTCCCCCCACCAGGCCACTACGTACACCATCCCTTGCGATCTCCGCAGGACGAAACACGTGCCGCCACCTCCAAGGTGGATCATCCCTGGCGATAAGCTGTGTGCGTCGTCTCAGGTCTGGTATCCTATCCTTGCCTGTCTGAAGCAATTTGACGAGGCACGTGCTGCCACCTTTGTAATGGATCTTCCTGGCGATAAGCTGTGTGCATCGTCTGAGGTCTGGTATTCTATCCTTTCCTATCTGAAGCAAGCTGACTGCTGAGTCGACTCAAAGCTCTGTGAGTCGTCGTAGGGTTGGTACCCTATCCTTGCCTGTCTGAAGCAAGTTGATTGGAACAGTCAAAGCAGGACGGGACACGTCACGTGCCGCCACCTTTGCGATCGATCATTCATGGCGATAAGCTGTGTGGGTCGTCGTAGGGTCAGAAGGGTATCCTATCCTTGCTTGTCTGAAGCAGGACGAACCACGCGCCGCCACCTCCGCCTCAGGTCTGGTATCTCTGCCTGTCTGAAGCAGGACGAACCACGTGCGGCCACCTCCCAGATAGATCGTTCCGTTCCTGGCGATGAGCTGTGTGAGTTGTCACAGGTTCGGTATCCTTGCCTGTCTGAAGCAGGTTTACTGCTGAGTCGACTCAAAAGTCAACGCAAGACAAGGCACATCCGAGATGGATCATGTGGACGGACTCCGTATGGCATGATCTGTCAAATGCCATCCTCTCTAACCACCACCCATGCCATGTGTCCTTCCCCTATTTCCATCCTGCCCCTGCAGTGTTCAATCACCGTACTCCACGTCACATGAGAGCTTACAAGCAAAGCCTGCTAAGACAAACCAATTCTCTTACTTCCACTCCCCTTCCCCCCTTCCTCCCCTTCCCCCTCTCCCTCCCATCCATTCCCCTCTCCCCCTATGTTGCTTTCAGATATACATTCTCGGGACTCGGTATGCAGTGTAGCTTCTATAAAGTGAAGATTTCTTTCTCATCAAAGATGGCTGCCTGAGTGGCAGCGTAGGTACGTACTTATGGCCAGGTTATTGTGGCCAAGGGTGTTAAGGGCAGTGCATGCCCTGAAGCCATTGCGGCTTGCTTGTTCGCTAAGGTGGGCACACTTTCATGCAGTTGTAACTAAGGGTACGTTCTTGGCCCATGTCAAACTTCGGGCCAGGCTGGTTGACACGAGGTGGAATTGACGGGTAGGAGGCAAATTTTACGATTTGTGTCAGATCTCCCTTGAGGGGCCTGACACCAGGAAAACTTGGCCCGAAGCTTGACATGGGCCAAGAACGTACCCTAATAGTTAAACTTGTGTGGATGTAATGTTCCGCAGAGAACAGTGTTGAAGTGTTGATAATAACTTCATGCCCACGGTTATGTTTAAATGCTCTTCTACACCGAACCTGCACCGATGACGGTAATCAAACATCAATTAATACAGAGACACATTGCAGTAACACCCTCCTGCCACCCACCCAGCACAGCACATTCTGCTTCTCAATCTATCACCTTCCCTCAAACTTTGAACATGGACTGCGACAACCGTTCCACTAATGATGGCCAATCCAATTACTTCTAAAGTCAGCTAACCGCTCTGAAATAAGCCACTGTTGTCGTCACAGGCATGGTTGCGAACCCTAACAGAGGGAAGCAAGCTATGCTATATTGCACGCATACAGATGGATTGCAGATTGAGTGAGACAGAGAGTTGAAGAGAGCCCACTTCACACCCGTATGGCATGGTGCGGAGCGGAGGGAATAAATCTCCATATAACCGTATTATAAGTGCATGAGAGGCGTGTAACGGGGGGAAAACATGTGCCAGGGTTAAGGACACTGCACTCATGATATGTCATTGCCATGGCACCCTTGACATGGGACGGCACGGCATGTAGGAGAAGGCGGAGCAGTATGGGAGGAAATGGGAGGAAATGGGAGGAAATGGGAGGGTATGGGAGGAAACGGGGGGGTATGGGAGGAAACGGGGGGGTATGGGAGGAAACGGGGGGTATGGGAGGAAACGGGGGGGTATGGGAGGAAACGGGGGGTATGGGAGGAAATGGGAGGGTATGGGAGGACATGGGAGGGTATGGGTGGACATGCGAGGGTATGGGAGGACATGGGAGAGTATGGAAGAGTTCACCTTGTGTCATGTCAAGTGACTCACCCTGTTAGCATCCATCTCCTGCATCATCTCCTCCTTGCTGTACCAAGTAAAGCACCTCTCCCACAAGTATGAGGCTGCGAGCAATCATCCCGGCGAGGCGAGGCGCGGCGGTCCTCGGCCGGCTTGACACCTGTGGTGATGCACTTGCACTTGCACATCGCACTTGTACATCGCACTTGCACTTGCACATCGCACTTGCACATCGCACTTGCACTTGCACATCGCACTTGCACATCGCACTTGCACTTGCACATCGCACTTGCACATCGCACTTGCACTTGCACATCGCACTTGCACATCGCACTTGCACTTGCACATCGCACTTGCACTTGCACATCGCACTTGCACATCGCACTTGCACTTGCACATCGCACTTGCACTTACACTAGCACTTGCACTCGCACTCGCACTCGCACATCGCCGGCCCAGTTATTCCAATCGGCCCTCGTGGATTGAATTCGACGTGGACGAGTCGCGAGGCGGGTCACGACAAAGCCTGGCGTTGTGGTAGGGGATGAGGTCAGGCGAGGGGTAGGGGAACGGGGAAGGAGGAGGAGAAAAGTGAAGGTGAAGGGGATACGGGTAAAGGAAGGGGGAGGGGTAGAGGAGGGGAGAGGGGAAGCAGGTAAGGGAAGGGGGAGGGGGTAAGAGAAGGGAGAGTGGGCAGGCGTAGAGGCAGGGGCAAGGGAAAAGGGAGTGAATAAAGGAGTGGGAGGAGGTAAGTGAAAAGGGAGTGCGTACGGGTAAGGAGAGGGGGTAAGGGAAGGGTTTGAGATGGTGAGATGGTGCCTTGGCGAGCAGTGTGGCGGTGCAAGTGGGTGCGAGAGGTCAGGGGAACAGCAAGCAGGAGCGGAGCAGAGCTGGATTGGGTCAGGCATGGATGAGGAGAGGGGTGAGAAGTGGGAGTTGGGCATGGCTGGTGGGAAGGGAGAGTTGCAGGGTGTTGTGGAGGGTGTTGCGTCGACGACTCCTTGGTCCTCCAAAACTCCCCTCGGAGCTCCAAGGCATCCTTTATAGCCTTCGTCAGCCCCCTCAGCAGCTCTCTCTTCAGCTGCCCCTCACAGTTTTTGGAGTGAGCCTCACACAATGCCCAGCCCACAATCACCTCTCACGCACAGCCTCTCATGCACATCACATTCAACCCCTTTCATCCACATCTACCCCCCCTTCCTTCATTCTCCCTTCCTACATTCCCCCTTCCTTCAACCCCCCTTTCTTCAAACCCCCTTTCCTCATTCCCCCTTCTTTCATGCCCCCTTCCTTCATCCCCCCTACCTTCAACCAACCTTACCCCCCTTCAACCCCCCTTCTTTCAACCCCCCTTCAAACCCCCTTCATTCCCTCCTTCCTACACCAGTCGTCTTGAGTGTATCTCACACGCATCCGCACCTCTCACGGCGCCTCATCTGGGCGAGTTCGAGCTTGTCAAATTGACCGCCAGACCCGTCAGCTGCCCCCCCTTCTGAGGCGCCTCAAAACCCGCCAGGCCCGTCAGCTGCCCCCCCCTCACCAACTCCTCGCCCTCCTTCCCGCTCGCCCCGCCACCACCCCTGGAACCGCCAACTCCCCTTGCGCTGCTTGGCAGTGTCCCCGCTCATCTCGCCGCCAGCCGCTGCTGCCTCCGCCGCTCCTTCTCCCGCTCCTTCTCTTCGTCCCTATCCTGTGTGCTTACACAGGGTCGCTAGTAACCTCGCCAGCATCGCGTGATTCTTGTTCGAATCTTGCGGAACCTGCGCCGCACAAAATTTGGCTCCGACTAGACTCCGAACGTACCCCCCTCGACAACAATTTGAAGCCGGCGGCTTCACTATCGGTCGACGAAGCACCACAAGCACTGTAAGACCATCCTACGCCTGCTATCGAGCGATCTGCCTCCTAAAATTGCGGTTTAGAGTCCTCGGATTATATTTCCGTTTAAAGAATTTGTTTTGTGCGGACTCTGAGGCATTTCCCGTCCTGTACGCTGCTCATGACGCAGAGGCAGCGATGCTGCCCGTCTAGCCATACCATCTGGAATAAGGATCCAGGTTATCAACATATCGAAAGAGTATCTAAATCGCAATCAGGAAGAAGGAAACGTGACCATTCGTGGTGGGACAAATGGAACGAAAATGGATCACACTGCGACTCGGTGGTGCCATACTCATTCAGCTAGTTCTCTTATCTGAGCAGTTCGACATTCCGAAATTAGGTCGCAGATATCATGAAGCGCTGGTACTACAGGTGGTTTCAGGAACGAAAATTGTTTAGCGAACGTTCATCACTGGTGTTACAAACAAAGTGTTACGAACGAGTCACATAGGGCGATCGATCGTCCTCAGGATTAGCATAGATCATGAAACGTTTGGATGCAATAGCCGTCATTTCAGTGCGGTAACGGACGCCAATGTAATACACCCTATCTGAATGCCCGAGTGACATGCACAAGTGCAACAGACCTCTGAACCTGACTCGAAAACAAGAGAAAGGGGCAGCGAAGATTTGGAGCTGTATATGGTAACCGAGCTGGAACTGTAGTTCGCCAATTCGTCATAAAAATCCCCTCAACTCGATGGTGGAGGCACACACATCCAGAGCAGGCACGCCTAGCGATCTTGAGAACACAGCAAATGGGCCCGCCTAACAAGAACTGACGTGAAGATGACACATTTGGAGAAAGCGAGGTGTTGAGATGGTTGCAAGTTGTAAATAGAGGCTTCCTGGATGGTGCAAGGGTGTGAGAGGCAGTAACTCAACCTCTGAGTTTGTTGGTCAAGTGCCTTCTGGATCTGCTTCTGTTCTTCGAATCTCTTTCCAGTCCTTTTTACCAACCCCTAACTCTCTTCTCATCTAACCAGTCCTGATTGGTAATGGCTGCTCGAACTCGCAGTATGGAGAGCACGCGCATAAACTCTCTTCCGACTCACCTCCTCGTGAAAATATTTTGGCGTACCAGCCAGCCAATAGTAGGCGAATCTTCTGACACTTATTATAAGTGCTTGAGTCCAAGGCCCAATTTTCTCGGTGCGTATCAGTCAGACTTTCGTCAAAAGAGCATCTCTCCCGTACAAGCACCTCCTGCTTACGCAGATGCCGCGTGGAATCTCCTCATCGCTTCCGTCTGCCGCGACTGGCGTCGTCTCGCTCAGCGCCACGTCAGCAGCCTTTCACTCCGAGAGGATCTCGTCGTCTCCCGCCAAGATCTCGCCAACGCCATCGCTTGTTTCCCGAATCTGACCCACCTGCACTTGAACGACGGCAGTCTGGAGGCCGTCGACGACTCCCTCCTCTCTCACCTCGCCTCCACTTGCCCTAAGCTCAAGGCGCTGCACGTGGGAAGCAGGATCAACCTATTTGACTATGAAGCTGCTGCTATCGCCGAAGACTTCGAAGATTGGAATTCAGTAACTAAAGATCCGCATCCAATAACTGAAGCTGGTTTGGATCAGCTCTTCAGACGGTGTAGAGGAATCGAGCAGCTTTCGCTCTTCTGCCTTCACGATGACGTCAATCTGCCGCCTTCGCTTCTCCAACTAACTCACATGCGTACCCTCGTATTAACAGACTCTTCTGCTCTAGAAGCTTCAGGTTTTGCCGCTTTCTGTTCTCTTTCCACTCTCCACATAACCTCACGGGACCTCAGTACGCAGCAATTCTTAGGCCTCCGTCATCTCCCTAACGTTTCCAGTCTTTCCTTTTCTCACCAGACCCTACCGAGTGTCTCTCGTTCTTCCCCACCTCTAGAGCTACCCGGTCTGACGTCTCTGCAAGTCAGCTGCCTCGGCCAATCATGGTACGATTTTTTTCCTTCAGGCTCACCAGGAACCAATCTCCAACGGCTGGAAATCGGCTGGGGCGACCACCCTAGGGAGATTCTCGGCACTGACATAGGAGATCTGATGCCATGTCTGCGGGAGCTGAACCTTTTCTGCGGCAACGGCTTTACTGAGCTGCCAGAGGAACTGACCTCCCTCAGACGGTTGGAGAACTTACGCATCGCTTTTTGTGCAGGGCTTTCTAGCCTTCCAAGAAACTTCGGAGAGGTGTCGACTCTCAAACTGTTGGAGCTGATTTCGTTGAATCTTACAGACCTTCCTGACTCCCTCTGCGAGCTTACATCCCTGGAGTACCTCTCTCTCCTCAATTGCCAAGGGCTCCGTCAACTGCCAGCGGATTTTTGCTGCCTCACTGCTCTTGAGACGCTGTATCTTGGACACTCGCGGCTGTTGATGCTACCAGATGACATTGGAGGTCTGAGCAATCTGAAAACCCTTCTCCTGGAAGAGACTTGTGAGGTGCAGCGGCTGCTCCCGTCTTCCTTCACGCAGCTGTCTGTTCTAACACGTCTTGAGCTTAATCACTCCAAGGTTGAAGAGCTTCCTGAGGACATAGGGATGCCCAGTAACCTGCAGCATCTGCACTTGAACTCCTGCGCGAATCTCACAAAGCTTTCAGGTTCATTCTCAGGTCTCATTGGGTTGGAGATCCTCATGATCTATGGCTGCAGTGGGCTCTCTTCAGTCCCAAGGCTGGATGGTTGCACGAGACTGAAGCGGCTGGAACTGATTCATTGCTCGAGACTGGCTGAACCTCCTGCATCCCTCCCGCCTTCTCTGGAGATCCTAGCCATGCCGAGTTACCAGCAGCTTTCTCCGCGCTTCAACATGCCCAATTTTCCACACCTTAGGATTCTCAAGCTCAGTAAGGTGGATGCTGGAAGCAGCCTGGCAGCGGCCATAGGTGCATCGCGACTGAGGCAGCTGAATTTGGAGCTGGAGGACGAAGCAGAGGATCTCCCCTCACCCTTTCCTGTCCTGCCGCACCTCCACACCTTGCTGATTTGGGGAGTTGCGAGGTATGATGATGCTTATAGCGGCAAGCTGGCAAGGCTCCCTGAATCCATTGGATCGTCTTTGCCACGGCTGCGGATGCTACAAGTAAAAAATTCACGTTTGAGAGAGCTTCCGGCAAGCGTGTGTGAGCTGCGGTGTTTGACGTCATTGGAGATTATAACATCCAGTCTCCTACCATACCTCCCTGCTGACATCGGTGCACTGACTCGGCTGCGGAAGCTGGAAATGCGTGGTTGCAAGGCCCTGCAGCATCTGCCGGCTTCCCTCACCCACCTCACATGCCTTCAGGACCTTGACGTTTCATACACCGGCATTCTCTCCCTCCCTTCCGGAATCGGTCGACTGACCAGGCTGAGGCGACTCAGTCTGAATCTCTGTGAGCATCTTAAAGTCCTACCGGAGGAAGTGACAGAGCTGAAGATGCTGCGCTACTTGGGTATTCACGAGTGCAAGCGCTTGTTTGTACCGCCTGGTGTCTACAGGATGTATGGGCTGGAGATAAGCTTTGAAGCCCGTTCGTCATTGGAGTACGAAGATGCATTGTTCTAGAGTTTGAAATGGACTTTGTCTAGAAGCATTCAGAGTTGAACTATTGGTTGGTACAGCATTTAGAATGGATGTACCTACACTGAAGGGTACTGTAATGTATAGCACTCTTGAATGAAGCATGTAACTGCCCTTTGAATCGTGAAAGCAAAAGCCATCCACTGTGCACATGGCCAGCAGGCAAGGTACGTACACAACCACACACCCACAATCAGCTTGAGAGGCCAATCCTTCACTAGCGTATGCTTCAGTGCAACAGCGTATCGACACCTTCCATCGCAACAGCTAATACAGTACAAGACGTCGCTTGCTTGAACTATAGCCCGGTGCACCATAAACATCGCATGCTATTCAGGTCTTCGTTCTTGCACTGCACCATGAGTTTGATCTTCACTCTCTGGTAGCGGCACTGCAGGATGCCACTTAAGGCAAAATAGAGTGGGAAGTTTTCCAAATAGCAGCCACTTTGCACCTGGCAGCCACAGAGATGGTCATGGTTGGGCTGGGAGACTCATTAAGTGAGCCTGAGGTGGCTTGTGATGGCGATAGAAGACAGTGGTGGTGGTGCAAAAGGTAGCGCTGATAAGATGAAGAGGTGAAGATCAAATGCAGGCAGGTGGCACAAACAGAATCAACCTTCAACTGCCCGCATCGGAAACAGGAAGCGGTGCCCAGACTGACCAGATTCGTTCTCAACACGGATGGCGCATGGGTGATGGCGCATGGGTGATGGCGCATGGGTGATGGCGCATGGGTGATGGCGCATGGGTGATGGAGCATGGGTGATGGAGCATGGGTGTTGGAGCATGAGTGATGGCGCATGGGTGATGGCGCATGGTTGATGGCGCATGGGTGATGGCGCATGGGTGATGGCGCATGGGTGATGGCGCATGGGTGATGGCGCATGGGTGATGGCGCATGGGTGATGGCGCATGGGTGATGGCGCATGGGTGATGGCGCATGGTTGATGGCGCATGGGTGATGGCGCATGGGTGATGGCGCATGGTTGATGGCGCATGGGTGATGGC